TCTTAGCAGCCCTGCAGTGTGTTTGTGGTGTCTTAGTCATCACAAAGGCAAAGTTCAGGCTGTGAACTGAATTTTTTATTTTGTATGTAGGGCTGGATGGTCTTTGCTCTGTGTATGAAGCACTATCCTATCGTACACTTGGTCACTGCCGATAATACTCTCCAGAAACCCCAAAGTGTGCAGAGACAGTGGAGTCACTAGAGAATACTTTGTTTTCCCTTGTTACAGTTGGCTATTCCTGCTATCTCAGTTGCCTTTTGACCACAATGCAAATGAAAGTTCTAAGGTAAATAAATAGCTTTCCCTTAGCTAAAACTACAGTGTTGTCCAGTGCCTCGAAAACATCCATAAAAGCACTAAAGTACCTGCATGTGCCTGGAAGCAGATGCCTGGCTCATGTTTCTTGCTTGTTAGAAAGTGTGTGTGTTACTTAACCTCTTGCATATTTATCTAAGCCTGGAAAAATACAAACTTCAGTAGCACCTCTGCAGCTTTTTTAAAAGCATCCATACAAAGCCAGGCTGTCCCCTTGTACTGCAGGTGTAGGCGTACGTTTTAGAGGAGCATCAACACCTGTAAAAACTGCAGTGGTTTCAGTGCAGCAATGAGTTTATGCCCACTTTGGAACCCTGTTACACTGCTGTAGTGCTTTAGAGAAGCACAGCTTGGGAAGAGAACCAGGCCCTTAATCTTCCCATTAAGCGAGCGCGGCTGTTGCAGCTGTCGGTGTGTGCAGGAATAACGGGCAGAGTCAGTGTAACTTCGGTGTGTAACTTTGGGGCAGAGTTTGACAAGCATTTCTTTCTGCAGCAGTGCCGCAGCTGATGCTGCCTGCCCTGGTGTTCTCCCTTGTGCTACTACAACTGTTCATGTGGCAATTGAGTGGCTTGAAAACTTGATTCAGGTGGAAAATAACCCAGGGTGAAACTTATTTTTCCTATTTTTCTTAGTACTGGTCTACTCTCTGATGTAGTGTGTTGCACAGTTTTGGCAAGGTGAGGGAACAGAAACAAGAGGGTGAGTTAAGCTGGCACTGCCTCTGAAAGAACCAGTTGTTGAACTAGAGCCCTAAAAACAAATGGTGTGAGATTCCCTCAAGTAATAAAAATGCTGGTAATTTTTTGAGTTTTATTTCCCATAATCTATGGTATCATCCAGACTGAACTGCAGTCAGCCCACCTCCTGCTTTACTCAACACTGGGAAGTCACTTGGGTACAGTGATGATGTGAGGTGTAAAACAGGGATGAATGACTATAAATGTTATCCATGCACTGAAGTCACATCATGCTGGAGCTTTCATCTCCTAAAACCTCACCTAGATCTTGACGGGGTGGCTTAGGATTTTGGCACCCCATGTGTGTGAAACAGATGAAGGAAGGGAAGTCATATATCCAAATGATCTGATTATTTAAACAAATTTTGTGGAAGAAACCACGTAACTTCACTTCATGAAAATGCACCTGACTGGAGTATGTACTCTGTGTAGCTACTCTTTCTGTAGTTTATGAGTTCCCCATGATCCTTCTGTGTGATACCCCTAGAAAATCTTAACATATTACTTTACAACAGGTACCAGAGTGGTTGAGCTTGTGCCCTTGATGATGGTTTTGGTGGGCCTGCTGCCTGTCCTGCTGTGACCTTGAAGGGACTGGGTTGTTAGGACAGTGTATTCGCTTAAAGACAGATTTGTGGGTCCTTATGGGGGGGGACAAGAATTGGCTGGAGATGATGGAGGCAGCTTTTAAGGGCAGCATACAAAGTCCAAGAGATCAGACTTTCCCCTGTGTCGGTGTCAGTACCCCATATATACAAGGATACGCCGCCGATACTGGAGGGACAGCAGTTTCAGTCCTCACAGCATTTCTAAAAGCATGTATCCACTTCATGGTAGGCAAAAGACTGAATTGTTCATAGGTACAAAGCCTGCAGCTGTGTGTCGTGTTCATTTTAGCACTGAGTTGAAAGTTTCTTGACCTGTGTTCAGTGTAATTAAAAACAAATGCCTCAAATCCAAGAATTGTTTGGAAAGGATTCTGTAATGCTGGGGCAGCGTGTATGGACATGTTCGCATGCTTGCCCTAATTGTATGGATTCGGTCGTAGGAGCTGCTGGACTCCAGCACTTCCATTGATTTGTCACAGTCTACAAATCCTGGAGTTTCTTAACACCATGAGGAGCAGAAGTGACTTAAAGAAAATAATTGTGTGTATTTACTGTGAATGCATTATGCACAATTTTATTACCTTTATATTAAAATAAGTTGAGATGCATTTTGCTTTATTTACACTATTTTCAGCCTGTTTTCCTTTTGCCTAAATGAAAGCCTTCTGATGCTCTTGCTTGTCTGGCTGGCTGTAAACCAGGTATTTAAACAAAAATAAAGAGTTGCCAGTTTTGCCAGCTGGGGATGAGAACCCGGCTGGTGATATGCGGGTTCGGGAGGCAGTTAATCCAGCTTTTATGCTTTTTTATGATTTTATGTAAAAAGAGGTTAAAAATCACATTTGGCTCTTTCTTTGTACCACTGTTTTGTTGCTGTTGTGGGAATGCAGCAAAAGGTTGCTCATACTTTTTATTATTATTAGGTAAAGTCCTGCATAAATTAGATAAAGCCCCAGATACAGTTCGCTTTAGCTATTGGCCATGTGATGTGCCTTGTTCAGAGAATGATGTTTTATCTTCCCGTTGCCTTGTTTTATAAATCACACATGCAAACCGCACCTGAACTTACTTGTAAAAAGAATCTACTACTGCCTCGCAATCTTGGATATTTTACTAGCTTCAAAAGCAAAGAGTAGCTCACTGTACAAATAGGAGAAATGGTAACGGTGCTAATAGATAGAGTAGAAAAATATACAATGCTTTTACTCTGTGGCAGAAGAAACGGTGATTTAAAGACAAGCGTCGCAGATTTCATATACAGTTTTTCAGCAAATAGCTTGCAATATGCTCAAACTCATAAAACAATTAATTTTAAAATACAGGAGTTAGTTTTTTCATATGTACTTATTCAGATAATTTGTTGTATTTTACACTTTCCAAAATTTCACCCTCTATTTGGAAATATCAATGATGTAACAAGTCTGTGTGTTTTGGCACAGTTGTAAATAGTATGTGTTAATGTGTTAATATTTATGATTTTTTAATCATATATACACAAGAGGGATTTGTAATACACTTCTTTCCATCATGTTTCTACTACTAATCCTTAAGGACAGTGAAAACTAGGAATACAAATGCATTAATTACTGTGGGATTGTCAAAATTGCCATACTGGATCAGACTGCATTTTGTTTCTCCTAATAGCATGTACCAGATACTTCAGAGCAGGGTAGGATTTACTGGGGGAGAAAAAGGAGAGGCAGATAAATGAGCTCGACAGCCCTTGTTAGGAGTGGCTGGGGTAGTGCATGTGTCCTGTGATGTGGCCACGGTCACTTAGTGACCCCAGATGGGCGAGGACTGTGTCTGCCCTTGCTTCAGAGGAAATTATTGGAAGTCATCTTACACTTTTTAGACAATCACAGGATAAATGTACTCATGGAAAAAGGTTATTTCTGATCTGTTAGAGGTTGCCTTATTCGTTAAAGCCTGAAGGCATGACCAGATTTTTACTGCCATATATCTAAATGACTGTTCCTGTGTGTCTACTTACAGTTTGAAGCTGGGTGAGCTCTTGGTGGTGGTGATTGCATGTGTCTGGGTGTTGTAAAAAGTATTTTGTTTTCTGTGGATTAGTTTGTGGGGTTTTGTTTGTTTGTTTGTTTGTTTGTTTTTTTAAATCAGTCATATGTGCTGCCTTTCAGAATCGGCCTTTTAATGATACAGAAACAATTCTTTATAAAGAATTATTTAATTATTTATAAATATAGTCTAACTGTATTAGTTGCATTTCTTTGATCTTTCTAACTGTTTGTTATTTAAGTCTGATTTCTTGTTTTAAGATTTTTGCCTCTAATAGATCTTTCTGCAGCAAATATTGGCAATTTGGCACATACAGTTGTAGTGCTTTCTGTATTACCATTTATTAACTTCTAACTGCTCTATCTTTTTTGAGTGAAAGGGTATGATCTTCTAGAAATTCACAGAAATTGGAATTATATATGTATATATTCAGTAGCCTTCAGTTTCCTTATTGCTTATGGTTTCATTATGGGTGTATGCTGCTGTTATGTTGTCTCCATTTCTACAGTTTAATATGAAGGTGTATTAAGGTCAAGACACACTGCTTAGATTCCTAATTCCAATTCCATGGGGCTGCTGGGAGAAGGGCTGTGGAGTTGGTTGTTTTTAGGCACACAACATTGGAGGCATTATGTTAACAAATTACATAAATGTTACCATATTTCTGTGATCATATAATATCATATAAACATAATGTCATAGTAAACATAGTATCATATAAACATTATCGTATTTCTTTGCATTAGCACAGTTCAACTGTTTGGACTACTAATGAAACTGTCAGGAGAAACACATTGAAGACTTTTAATATAAACACAGATCATAAAGAAGCTAAGCTTATCTTAGTAAGATTAAGGTGTTTCTAAATTTGAGGCTTTATTCTTACAGGTGGGGTAAGGAGAGAGCAAGTGACTGAGCAAGGAGATGCTTCACTTCTTCTCCCAGAAGAATGCTGACTGAGGCAGTAGTGCCTATAGATGAAGTGTCTCTTCCTAAAATTGTGTACACTATAAATGGGATGGTAGAGGACATAGGAAAGGGGAAAACGCAGTCATGATCAGTTTGAGCAGGTCATTCTCAATTTTATGTTTTGCTTTTAGCAGTACGGTCCCTGGTACGCCTGGAATTTCAGTGAGCTCAGGTGCATGGGTCAGTACTGCAGTTGCATGTATTGGGCCAGCTTCTGGGAGTCCTTGTAGTACACCGTGAAAATAAAGTCTTGGAAACCCATTCATATAGAGATGCATCAAATAGACTGAAGTGATTGTGTCTGAAATAGTGCATGTCTTACAGCTGGTTTTTGTTTCTGTCTTAGGTGTTGGAAGATAATGACTATGGTCGTGCAGTGGACTGGTGGGGATTAGGAGTTGTCATGTATGAAATGATGTGTGGACGATTACCGTTCTACAACCAAGATCATGAGAAACTATTTGAACTGATACTAATGGAGGACATAAAATTTCCTCGAACTCTGTCTGCAGATGCAAAATCATTACTATCAGGCCTACTGATAAAGGATCCAAATAAGCGGTAAGTGAAATTACTTGGACATACAAGTGTAATCAATACTCTAACTATACTGGGTGATGTGAAAATAGGCCAGTGGTGCCTGGTCTTCCTGCCTGAAGGACCTGTCAGTCACAGGAAAGGGCCATATGCTGCTATACTGTCTCAGTTTTCCACTTTTTCAATACAGCAATGATATACAAAGTGAGTTTAACAAGCAAAAGGGGAAAAAGCATGTGGAAGAGAAGACTTTTTTAATCATTCACAGCAAATATTGGGATCTTTTCAGGTTTAGGTTGTGTACTGGAACAAAGGGAAAGCTCTAAATTGTTTTTCAGAGTATGACTTAACAATGAGTTGGCTGTAGTGTCTCTTGGGGACTATACTACTTTTTCTTGGAAGTGATCATGCCAGAAGACACGTATAGACAGCCACAGATAAATTTTATTAGAGCATGTAAACAGATCACGTATTAGACCACGTAAACTAGAAACTTGTTAAAGAATACATCTTGTGAGTGAGATTTAAATACAGTGGTTTGAAACCAAGTATCACCTAGCTGCTGCCTGTGTCCTTTCGTGGTGGGCTTTTCCCTCTGGGTTTGTGGCCTAGGAGAGCCATTTTCCCGTGGCTCCTGCACTGGGCTAGCAGTGTCCTGTCCCCTTTGGTTCTAAAACAAATCTCTAAATCAGTGAGATTTGCCTGTAGGTCCCCTCTTTTTCCCAATCTCTCTGTTCTTGTGAGTCTCTTGGCATGATTTAAGGCTGCAGGCATTCTTCTGTCTCTCTCTCTTACAGTCCTCCTTCATCCTCTAGTTTGTTCTCAAGAAGTTTTCAGTAGTGGGCATTGCTCGCTGGCACTCAGGGCAGGACTGGTTGCCCTGTCTCTCTGAGGGATTTGCCTGCGTGCAGCCAAGTGCAGCAGCCAGGACGGCAGAAGCGGTCAGCCTTTCTGCTGCTGCCCAGCAATGCCTGTTTAACTGAATTTACTGTATACAGTAAAAGCAAACTGTGACCAACTAACCAGATGCATGGAGATCAAAGTAAAAATTTGTTCCTGTAGCAACTCCTAATGCATTTTAACCTCCAGACAATCTGACCCATCAAATATATTAACCTTTAGAGTTGAAAAGATACTTTCTTCTAATTAATCTTTGCAGACAGTAGTGTTTATTATAGGCTTACATTTACAAGCTTACTCACATTCAAGTTCTGCTGCTAGCTAATGCTAAACAGGGTGGGAGCACAGAGGTTAACTGCAACTCAGCTTTTCTCTGAGCAGCTGGATGGGAAGATATTGAGAGAGGTCTGGAGACTGCAGCCTAACTGGGATGCTGAGCAGAGATGTAGAGAATTTTACAGTGAGTAGTTAAGAAACAAAGAGGAATACAGCTTGGAAATGAGAATAACTTTATACCCAGTTACTGCAAGACTGAAGTAGTAGCCCAGAATACTTTTGTAATTTGGCAGCAGATTTTTTTTCTTGGTTGTGGGAATTATTGCTCCTTGCAATAAATGCTTTAGAGAGGAATTTATCTTACTTAAAAGGTTGCTTTTAAAATTTGTCTTTATATCTTTAGCAGTTCCTTTTAATGAAACACAAACTACTTGTGTTACTTTTCTTGCAGTATTTAACATGTATGGGCTGCTTGTTCGGTTAAGATTAGCTTTTTTTCTGTTGCAACTTCTTTCTGTTAGATCAGTAGGATGGCCAGTCTCAGGAAGAGGTTAGGTGAGAGCTGAGCAGTTCTGAAGGTCCAGGTGCTGTTGAAAGAGGCAGAGGTTCCCTTCACTGGATGCGTGGTCTTTTCTCCACCAGCAGCAGCAGCAGCTCAAGGGAGCTCACTAAACTTGTTGAGTCAAATTTGACTTGCTAATGCAACAAAAAACAGCCAGTTCTTTCTCGTTTTCTCATTGTGGGGTTAGTTTTCTTCCAGGTTAATGAGCTGACTCAGCTCACAGTCTTCAGTGGGAATGATGCTGCAGATACAAGTGAGAGGGGAGAGGTATGGGCAGGGGTGGGACCCTCCTCTTTTGGCAGCAGTGACCACTTCCATGAGCTCAAATCACCTTGGGCAAGTTCACCCAAAGTAGGTGGAATTTACTTCCTAAGATGATTTGCCAGAGTCTGGCTTTGGCAAGCTATGGGCCACAGTGAATAGTGTGGTTATTTACAATGGCCTTTAAATAACCTTCTCAGCAGGCCTACAATTTATTAATTTATACTAATTGACTCAGATTGAGACTATTTTATGGTAATTGGTTAATTGTTACAGCACCCAGATGCAACAGCAGCGAACACTGTATAAAAATGATGTGTGAGTCATTACTGATTCAGTGCCTGGCACCTCCTTGGCAAAATTTTATGTCAGCATTGTTGGGTTGGTTTGGGTTTTTAATAGTGCCAGAATGTTAGTTGGCCTTTCAAGGAAACTAGACTTAAGTGTGTTTTTAAAATGAATGAATGATTAAAAAAAGCTCATCACGGACAGTAATGAACACTGTAGTTGGATTGATCAAATAGAATAGACCATGGCATGGATACTTCTGCTATCACATTTTCTGTCATGATCACCTGAATTCATATTAAACAGGTGAGAATTACATATTAAATGGGTGAGAATGGTTTCCAGATAGTCAAAAACAAATGTTGATTTTTGCAGCCATTACAATAACTTAATCTCCCTTTAAGAATAACGCTTGTTTAATATGATTTTTTTCCCCCCACTCTCTTTAGACTTGGTGGTGGCCCAGATGATGCAAAAGAAATCATGCGTCATAGTTTCTTTGCTGGAGTAAACTGGCAAGATGTATATGATAAAAAGGTATGTCTTCATATGACATTGAATAATCTGGCTTCTGCAAGGTGGTTTCAACTGATAGTCATAGGACTGCTGCTCTCTGAAGTTAGTCATGTTTTTCTTTGCAACTTTTTGTGTTAATACAAATGAATAATTATTCTGCACTAGGTATACTTACTTAAGCTTCTGTTCTTCAGTAATAATTTGACCAAAAATAAATTTTGCCAACCAACCTAAACTCAGCAAAGATTTTTCTTTTATTATGTAAATGTCCAAAACTTTTCCTTTCCTTTTTTCTTCCCGGGCCTTCAAGAGAAAAGTAGGTGTATGACTCAAGGTAATGTGAGAAAATGGAATGGAAGTTTATCCTGAATTGTCTTTTTATTTCTGCCTTTTATTGAAAAGTTGATTTATGGAAACAGGAAAATGATGTGATTGGAAGGGACTCATGGCAAAAATCTACTTTCTGATTGTTTGTGTTTTAAGTAGAAATCTTTTAAAAACTTATTTTAGAGAGATATCTAAGAAAATTAAAATAGCATTAAAACACTGAGCCAAAACAGCTTGTGGAGAAAGCGAGTACTGGGAATTCAATTGGAACAGTTTTCTCTAAACCCAGTCCTGTTCCTGTAATGATCAACACTTTGGGGATGATTTTAGAAAATGAATTTATCTTACTCAGTAGTGAAACTCAATTTGACTTAAGTTGTTTTATATACAGAAGCTGATTTTATCTCAGTACTTGTGTAAGAATTTACTTGTTGCTATAAACCCCTTCTATTTTGATAAATTCTCTTTTTTTTCCCCAACTGTTTTACATTGTTAATCTGCCAGTTAAGCGGCGTAATTTTAAAAGATAGATTTTTCTCCTTTTTTTACTTTGTTCAAATAAAAGGAAAATGGAAGACATACGAATGAGCAGAATATGTTTATGCTACAATGTCAATGATACAAACTGTTTCTTCAGTTGTTGTTGAACTGGAATTTTAAAAATGTGTGGTTGTTGGTGTGGTACTTCTCTGACAAATACCGGAATTGAAATACGAGCCTGTATATGATGATACAAAATACGGTACTCTGAAGTTACTTGATACGGGTGTGATTTTTCCCTGGCAGTATGATGAGGTTTCAAAAAACTCTAAAATAAATAATCAGAGCAAGTGTATTAATCAGGTTACTTTATGAGCTCAACCACTGGGTGGTTATGTAAGGACATTGTAGAGAAGCACTTTGAGGATAAAATCTAAAAATACAAGTTGAGGACCTTTCTGGAGTTTAAAACCCCCCACTAAAATTGATCAGATTGCAATGTGCTAGGAGTGGGTGAGAAGGAAAAAGCTGTTACATTACTCTTGCTCTGTTGAAAAAGATTTGTTAATTATTTTGCATTAGAAACAGAGTTTTCAATTTCTACACTGTGTTCAACATCATATTTAGTTAAAAAAATATAGATACTCTTAATTTTTAAGCATGCGCTTTGAGTCTTTCCAAATCAGTGTGGCAAATGTCTTTCAGTCAAGATCTTATTCTGAGCTATTAAAATAAAAGGAGGTATTTTGCAGGTATTAAAAAAAATGTATATATAAAAATTTATAAATTTATATAAATATATTAAAACATATGCCTATATAAATGCGGGTATTTTGCTTTTATGCTCATGGAGGCGGATATGGCTTATTGGAGTATTATAACTGGAGAAATTGTAGTCATTCATTGTTTACTCTGTCCACTGTTGCTTTGAGAAACTAAATTTGCCAGTAAAAAATCAATTTAATTTCCTCAGTTGAACCGTTAAGTTCAAGGATCATAGGGATTGTTTTTGTGCAGTATTGGCACGCAATGTGTTCTTTATGGAAAGATAACTCATGAAAATGACTTCTGGCAGTATGTTTTTCTCTTTAATTAAAAAATAGTTTTGCTCCTATTACAAAGCCATTTGTCTGGTTGGTTAAAATACCCAGTTGTTCCTTCTGCACGCACAGTCTTATCAGTTCTGAAGTATGCAGAGTAAGACTGTGCGCTGAAATATAAACTTCAAACATAATAATAAGGTTAATGAACTTTCACTGAGTATGTTTATTAGAATGCTTATATGAATATTTTTGAGGTTTTGGAATTCTAAAATAACTCAGGAGCAATGTGCATCAAACAAATTTGATTTTCAAATAGATTTATTCTGTGCTTGCTTCTGTTGCTGTTTATTATTAGTAGTATAGTCTTCAGCAGTAGGGTCACTTGATGAAATTGATAGTTGATATAATTATTTGCATAGTAAAAATATTTCACAGTATTCTTGCCTGAGGTTTATGCACCATGAAACTGTAATTTTCTGGCTGCGTTTCAGGAGTGTCTTTCTGCTAGCAATGAAGGAACTGAAGTTCACATTCAGAGTAATGGAAACCAAAAAATAATGTGTATTCCAAGGAGTTGCTCGGGGATGGTTTTGTACATGTGCACACTATGCTCCTGTGCCGCTAATTTTATCATTTTTGCTAGAGAGTAAGTCCAGCTCTGTACTTACTAGGTTATCACTTTACTGGTGTGATTAGGGACAGAATTATGTATCTGTAAACGTAGAGTATTTCATGCACCAACAGTAGCTCTGTCAGGTCAAATGGATCCAAATGGTCAAACGGAATTATTAGCTCTCTGATACTGCTAACTAATTAAACTAATTTGGTACTACAGAATGATAATAAAATGTTGTATGGCACACTGGAGCAGAGAAGGTCATTGCCTTTAAATGAAAAATGTATAGTAGTTAGCATTTGTGATCAGATGTATTTATTTTTGGCAGAAAAACCATGAGGGCATATGAAAGAGAGCAGCCTGTGCCAGGTTCTTCCTGTGATCATCTCAGCCCTCATGAGTTTTTATCTCTGTGCCTGAGTATGAGAAATTGAATAGTTTGGCAAACTCTGAAGACTTCAAAGCCCATATACTTCTAAATAAAATATTTGTTTTATTTTTAGCTAGAATCAGGAAGCTTTCTGAAATTTCTCTGTTACTCATTTAAGAATTGATTTAGGACATTTTTATTTGGGTTGCAGAAATATTCTTAAGTTGTTGGATGTTCTGTCAGAGTCTTTCACCAAACAAAAACCACATGGGCATTAATTTAAAGGTAGGAATTTGGGTATGTCTTCAGGCTTGCAGCTTGAAGCACTCAGGTAGCCTCATGTCAAAGGAGATCCAGACCTTTTAGTGAAGGCTGGGTTTCCTCCCGCATGTAATTTGGATGAAAGAAGAAGAAAGAAACCGTATGGGAATTTGGGCTGAGACACATGTATCTTCTTCTGATTTCTGATAATACCTCCGGCTGTTCCTGAAGCAAATTAGGGCGTGCTAACAAATTTATTTGTTAGTAGTGGGAAGGGAGCAGGGGCAAGTGGCAGTAATGGTTGAAGCTGGGGTGCCGGACTTTGCTGCAGGCGCAGCGCTTGCAAAGGCACCTGTCTCAGCGTGGAGGCAGCGACTTTCAGCGTGAAGTCTGACAGCTGCAAGAAGCTGTTCCGTACCCTTCGGCTGTGACTACCTTTGCTTTACTTAATACACAACAACAGCAGATGATGAAACCCCATGACTGAAGCCCTGGGTTCAGGCCTGGCAAAATCTGCAATATAACTATAATCTTAAATGCACGTTTAAGTACTTTGGTGTATCAGATTTTAAGGGAAAGGGCAGGAGGGAAATAGGAAAATAGCAACATCTGGTTTTAGGCGGTTGCTATTTGAGTCGTACTATTTTTGTACAATTATCTGCAGTGCAACAAAGCCTGTAGAAATGACCCTCGTTACTTGCTTTTGTGTTGTTGCCATGCGAAGCAGTAAAAAGATCAGAAAACTGCTAACCAGTCTGATCTTTTCATTGTGTTTCCAGTGACACTTTAAACTCTATGGGCAGACCTAGTGGTTGATTACCACCCCTTCCCCCAGCTGCTTCAATTTACAGGGAGGAAAACGGACGTAAGGCTTCTGATTCTTAAACTTGTTGCTGTAGTCCTGGGGCTTGTGGTTTCTTTCTGTCCGTTGTATCAGCATTGTATCACTGGGAAAACACAGTTTGTCGATGGGCAAAACCCCCGGCTGAAGCCTGCCTTTGGATTTGTGTTGCGTGTCCTTCCCCCACTGAAATCCCAGCTCGTCCTCCTGCCCCTGCCTAGGACCACCACATGCAGTGTCCTGCCGGGGTCCACGGGGCGCTTCCAGCTCCCGGCCGTGCTGCGGCTGCTGGCTGGGCAGCAGGCCGCCTGCTTCTGGGCCGGCTATGGGCACGAACCCGGCCCGAGGTCAACGCGTACTGACTGGCTGGAAGCTCAGCTCAGATGACTTGTCTTTCCTTCAGTGGAAGCTCTAGTTTGCGGGGGATGGACAGGGGTGTCTCTTGTCTATTCAGTAAACTAGATTCAGAAATTCTGTGGGAAGTGTATATGTGCGAGTCTTTTGTCTGTCATGGTGCATTAGCCCAGCCATTCGGAATCTGTTAGGGAAGGACGTACAGACTGACAGAGTGCGTAATCTCATCAGCTTCTGTTTCCTGTGCTAACTAAGCTCACACCAGAAAAAGGACAAAAAATTATTGTTAGGAAAGGAAAATCAGTCTTTTAAAGGACTTACATATTTTTAATTAAAATACTGTTGTTGAAGATCTAATGTTGAAAGATAAACTAAGGTTTTGTGTTGTTAGTATCTCTGCATGATTTTTAGGGTCCCAGCATTTGCTTTGATGGAAGCTTAAAAGATGTATAAATGAGGGAACATGTATTAACAGATACACATCAGAAAAATACAACATTTTGAGACAAGCTTTGCTAGTGTCCTTTTAAAATGTTTTATTGTGGTATTTTGTAAGTTAATGAATTTCAGTTTATGTGAAAATAGACTGTTTACTGGGAATGTCATTTAGTAAGGTAGCTAGTTTGTTAATACAAATACATTTTTCTTTGAGTTGAGAAGTCTGTCTGTGAATTGTGACATGTTTTCAGCACTTCCAGCTGAGCATGCTTGTGAGGAAATACAAAGGCGTATTTCAGTGATGTGACCCCATTCTCCTCTCACAGTATAATTTATTTTTTCCACCATTCTGATTTGGCTAATCCGTCTCTTGGAGTTTTGGTTCTCCAGGAGAGTTTTAGGTAGATGAAAGTTTGATTTCTGGACATCAAATCATGAACACTTAATTACCAATACTTAATTCACTTTCATAGTCAGAAAGAACTGTAACGTTTGACACAATTTTTGATATATGTCAGACTTGAATAATAAACTAGATGGAAATTGTTGAAATACAGCATATGATGACAATACAAGACATTATTGAAATACCTGCTTTGTAGTTATTTTTATAATAAATTTTCAAAATAAGTAAGCTGTGAGAAAAGCAGAATTAATCTCATACATTGTAATTTATTAATAAAGAAGAGGCGTATATGTTGGGATGCGACAGTGATTTTTTTTTTAGTTGGACAACTTGGAATGTCATACTGAAGTTGAACCATAAGTAAGATTCAAATAGTTATTCCGTCTGAATAAAACCTGAAATTGAACAACAGTGCTCACTAGTATTTATATGACACAAAGAATTAGTGTGTTTGGGAGTTTTGAGATTATAAATAGTTATCTAGTTTATTTAAATGAATAATTCAGTGGGGGTGGTGTATAGCTGCTCCTCTTATTCCTTTCATGCTTTATCTCAGAGTACTATTCAGCTGCAGTCTGTTGGTGGATGAGATTCTTACGGTAGTGTTAATTTTGAGTTCATTGGAAGGAAAATACCCTTTAAATTAAAAGAAGAAGGAAGATCAGATTGATGTTCTTAAGCATCATATTTTTCATCTGGCAGATCGAACGCATCACAGTTACTTTGAAGTAGCTTCAGCACCTTCCTATACAACAGCAAGACAAATGATTGCTGTCAGATTATCTTTGACCAAATAACATTACGTACTTTCTCTCATACTGGAGTATTTGTGTAGTTGTTGAGTAAGCGTGGGAAAGCTCAAGGTGTAGGATAGAGCCTGTCTGTTCATCTCTGTGTGACTGTAAGAGTCAGGTACTGTACCTGCCCCTTTCCTTCCCCTGAGAGATGGGTGGCAAGTTTCCCAGGTCTTAAACTGTGGAAAAACAGTGGTGGTTCTCACACATGGATCTCGATGGATGCCAAATGGAAATGCCATTCACTGGGGATAATAAAGACACTAAGAATTTGATACTGCTTGTGCTGTCATTTCTAACACCAAGCCTTGGAAATGGCCGGGGCAGATTCAGCTTGACAGATGGGTGTGAAATTGGATTTCTGTCTTGAACATCCACTCTTATAGCCAGTGAACTCACACTGAGTTTAGGCTTTTATTTCTTTGTTCGTACACACATGTATGTGTGTAATGCATGAACACAGAAAATCTGCGTTTCTCATCCTTAGAATAAATTGCTGGGTGCTGAAGGTGCAATCCCCTGTCTGGTTTGAGCATGTTCTGAATTTGCACAGACTGCTAGAGGAGGAAAATCGTCCTGTCCTAAAGCTTGGCAGCCGGGACCGAGAAGCGCGATTTTTCACGCAGACTGGGAAGGCCTGTGCTTAACAAAAGCTCATCTTTCTTACTCCTTTTGGACGGAGGTTACTGGGTGTGCCTTGCGGTGCTCACGTTACTCTTGGACTTTCTGACTTCTTGGGTCAGAAGTGGGGAAAAGCTGTGGCCATAGCAGCTGGATACCATTTCCTTGTGGCACCAAACATGAAATGCCACTGAGTGTAGAAAGGCATCTTCATGTTGTGATCATCAGAGCTGTAGTTAATGTTGGGTGTTTGGTTCTTTGTCATTGAGCCTCAGCTTCAGTCTCCCTTGGGAGGTATGGAGAAGCTTCCGAGTTCTTATTCAGGCTCTGTGTCAATCTAAGTGGTTATCTCTGCAGCCGTTACACCTTATTTGTCTTTCTAACCGTTTTGTTACAGCTAAAATTTGCAGAGATCTTGCTTTCTGTTTTTCAATAAAAGCTGACAATTAATGAACAAAGGTGGCAGCCCTCCAGAAAGACGGTTGCCAAGTTTCTGTAGCATGGCCTGGCGTGTTGGTGACATGGCTTACAAAATCTGTCTCGAATGGCTCTGTCTCCAGTCTCCTGAATGTGGTGTTGAAGTACCGTGTCCCTCTGCGTACACTTGCACGCATTGTTTATACCATATTCTGTGCTTCTGCTTTGTCTGAAAGGGTGTTAGGAAAGGATTCCTTACTGCATTTCTCTCATTTTCTTCTGGAGGTGATGCCTGAGCTCCGTGTGCTGGTTCCTCATTTCTCAACAAGAATTCTGCAGGAATCAGTAAATTATTTTAGAGGTTCTCCCATTAGAACTGGAAGTGTATCTTGCAAGTATTCCAACGATTATATGAAGGTCAGGGAAAGAATTTACCTGGGGGGGTGTGCCTTTGGTGGCAGATCAGGAGCCTGGAGTGGGATGTCCACAAGACTTCAGCTGCAGCTGTGCTGGTGGAAATGATGCTGTGAGGGAAGGAGGTAAAGTGTATGGAAAGAATTAGGAAACCTTCCTGCTGCTCTCTGTTCAGTTGTGTCTCTGTGCGTCTTAATCTCAGCTGCCATTTCCTCTTTCCCATAGGCTGCAGGGGATGGTTGCTGTATGTCAGGGTATAGCTTGTACAAATACCAGCGTAAGCTGTTGTGGGGAGCCACATGGCTGCATGGTTTGTTTTTGCAGTCACTGAAGTTTCTGACTGCTTTTAATGTCCGGGATATGAAAGGTACTGCTGTAAGATGAATCTCAAAACACCAGTGACATAAATCTGCATCCTCCCTTCTAGTAACAGCCTGGATTTCCATGTGTTTTATTTGTTTTACCTCCCCAGACAGCTAAACTTCTGGCATAACTAGACGTTTCATCAGCTGACTTACTGGATGTTATTGACAAACAGTTTTCTATTAAGCCTAGCTACTGAGCATCGAACTGGAGCACTAACTTCCTCCCATCACCCGTGACTGACAAATTTTGTTTTAATGGTGCTTTTCGTACCTGATTGAAATTATTATTGTAATTATTTGTTCCTTAAGAGTCATTTAGTATGGTGCTTCTCTTCCTAAAATAAAGTTTTCAGAGTATGTTCATAACCATTACTATTTCAGAAGATGGAGAGAACAAGGGGGTGATCTAAAGTCATAGCGAGGCCTGTTCGTTGCAGTGGACAAAAAAAAAAAAAGGGGAAAAAGCCCTGAATAAACCAGTAATTAGCCAGTAAGTTTTTGAGGAAGAAACTTGTCAGTTAATACACTATCTTTTTCTTCTCCAGTTGCGGATCCATACATTGCTATATATTATGATCTTACCCTGCCCTTCCTTTTGCTTTTCATTAACTACTTTGACCTAAATCACAGCTGTTAAAGACTGCAGAGTGAGTGTGTTCTCCTTCTCTTCACATAGCAGTTGTGGCATGAAAGGTCTCTGGTTTACTTTATAGCAAGAGTGGGTTGTTCTACTGGAGATGTGTATTGCACCATTGGAAAGACATTGTTTCTTGTCCTTGACTTGAGAAACAAGAAAAGCTTTCTTAAGCTTGTATTTTCATATGAAAAGTTTTAATTCTTGTGAAGTGGCATTTTCTGTTTCTGATCTGGAAAAATGATCCAATCGGGGAAGTAGTAAAATTGTTATAATAACCTGTTATCTAATGGATTTTTTTCATACTGAATTTATCTAATGTTTACTTCAGTTGCTGAGAACTGTGAAAGTGTCTTTTAAAAGAATGTACAGTGCCGGTCACTTGAGCAGAGTACGTTACTTGGCTTCCTATAATCTGCCTTTTTTTTTTTTTTTTTTTTTTTTGACTTTTTGAGTGTTCTCTGAGACAGAAAAATGAAAAAAAAGGCAGTTGGGAATGTTCCACTGCAGTAACTCTGTGCTCAGGAATTGTGTGGCTGCTTTGCTGGGGGACGTACAACTTTGGAAATCTGTTTTAATAGTGCAAAATTGGTTGGGATGGCCAGGATGCATACAAAAATAATTTTCATGAAAATGTGTCGGTCATGTCATGTGTCGTGTCCCCCCCCCCCCCGAGCCATTTGCAATATCATACATACTAAACTGCTGTATCGTTTTGGACTGGCACCATGCAGTGCGATATTCCATACTGAATATGCCTTCCAGTTAAAATCTTTGGCCTAGAGGCGGTTCTGGAGGAGAAGGTGAAGAGCAAGGCTGGTTCAAAGAGGGGCAAGGGAGCCCAGCCTGTGAGCTGTGCGCAAATACTAGTGATTTGCCATTGGGAGATACCACACTGTACTATGACAGCAGTAGGCAGGATTAGATCCAGCAACTCACTTAAGCATGAACTGGCCTTTTTTCAAATCTAAAATTTATTTTCGCATTCGTATAATTTCTTCTAAAGGTAAGTTCAGATGTAGGCCTTAACCCTGCAACAAAAATTGCATCCTGCTTACTATGGTCTCTGTGTAGTCCTTTTTGCCTTAGCTGTTCATACCACCCAGTTGTGGCGAAGTACCTAGAGCTGCTGTTGCCTGACATTTATGCAGGTAATTAGAATGGCCTGAAGAGCTTCTAGGTAATTATCTTTATGCAGCTCAATTTATGTGCAAGTCATGTGAGAGTGATACTTGGAATTTAGCTGTGTTGTGCTATTAGCTAGATTCTGAACTAGTAGTTTTGAGATTGACTCTAATGGCTTCTGTCTCTTATTAGAAGTTAGAGACTCAGCTGCCTCTCCACGGACCTGCTCGTTTGATCTGGGGTGTGGGGAAAAAGAACTTGCTTGTTTTCCTGGTAGTAATCTGGATAGTTTCAGGTATAGTAATTTCATTTTGTTTCTTGGTCCTTTTCAGCTTGTACCTCCTTTTAAACCTCAAGTGACATCTGAGACAGACACCAGGTATTTTGATGAAGAATTTACAGCTCAGACTATTACAATAACGCCACCTGAAAAATGTAAGTCAGAAATTATGCATAACTTAAAAATAAGCAGTTTATAGGAAAGCACCGTGTAAGGTTTTTTTCTGTTTGAATGGAAAAGCTATTCTCACTGTTACTAATAAAAATCTTCATATGGAAGTGTGTAAGAGTAACTCTCAACGACAGTGTTCTTTTAAAGAAGGAGTAATTACAAAGCTTAAAATGTTAGATCACTCTGGGTTGGGTTTTGGGGGCATTTTTTGGTGTGTTTTTTGTTTTGTTTTTGTTCGTTTGGGTTTTTTGTTTTGTTTTCTCTTTAAATAAGAGAAAACACTAGCTTCGAATGTTTGATTGTTGGCAGTCAAGGTCCCAATTCAGCAAAGTACTTGGAACATGGACCCTGCTTTAAGGATGTGGACACTGCTAGTGGCTTCAGTGGGTTTTCTAGGTTTAGTGAGTTAGGCATATTTTAAAAATACTTATGAAGACCAAAAGGACAAAAATAGAGCTACCAGCGACAAGTGGATGTCTCTTGTGTAGATACTACTACATACCATAATTACTTGAAAATGAAATTTCCTATCAAGTCCTGTGCTTCAGCAAAGCTCTTAAAGAAGTTATTAATGTAGATGTAACTGCTGCACTGGGCCTTGCACAGAGTTTCTTTGTGGGAGTGAATGTAATTTCACCGTAGTTTATATGTTTGTCATCTTCTGCTAGACACACAAGAATCATCATCTGATTGGCCAAGCTAGGGCTTAACAGAGTTACTCACCAAGTTATTTAGATATCAAAGTTTTACAAATCACACTAAGTGAATATTGAAACTATATCTTGTATCTACAGTAATCAAACTGATAGCTAAACAAACAGGCTTTGTACATTAACCTACTTTAAACTGACAGTGTAAAAGGGAGACTATTTGAAGTTACAGAACTGAGAGGCACTGTTGAAGTCAAGCAGCCTAATCATAGCCATTGCTCAAACCTTCATTAACTCTAGTTTTTATAGGTAGACTATATGAAGATACAAAAGATACATAATTCTGAAAGGTTGCATACAAATACATTGTTAGAGTAACAGTTTCAGTAGGAGTCCTTAAGGATAAGCACTGTTAAAAAATCCATGTGAGAATTTAGATCCAAATTCTCAGAGTTAGGCAACATCTGGTGCCTGGTTTCCATTAGCATTGCAGGAATTATGTAAATAAAAATATTTATGAATTTGGCTTAGTCCGTGTTTCCTCTGATCCCAATAAATACTCTAAAAATAAATAGTTTGCTAAAAAATAATATGGAAGAATTGAAACACATAGAACCTGCATGAATTGTTCATTTCGTAGCTGTTCTTCCTTTTAACTCCCTTCAGAGGGGAGGCATATTTAATTATATCTACAGTAAGATTATAATTTCCTGAACTCAGCTTAAGAAACAATGAAAACTTGCAGCTTCAATCAGCAATCAGCTTCTGTGCTACCAGAAGCTAGATGTGCTGGCGTGTTTTGATTAGCCTAGAAGGGGTAGTAATGGTTGAAGTTCTCAGGTGGTCATCATAATCAAACAAACTAACATAAAACAAATAAAACAACCCACCCTGAAATAAATGGTGACTTATTGAAAGGATATCCTTTCAGTGAGCATCATTCTACTGCATGAGCAGAAGCTTATGTGAATAAAGTGCTTCTTTAACTTAAGCCTTTAACTTCAGCATTGAACCCTGAAATATGTACTGCCTGTCAGGTGAATAAGAAAATTTTCTTGCAAATATAGTGATGTTTTGAACTTCTCCCTTAATACAGATGACGAGGATGGTATGGACTGCATGGACAATGAGAGGCGGCCGCATTTCCCCCAGTTTTCCTACTCTGCAAGTGGACGAGAATAACTTTTTTGTTCTGCTGCTTCACTGTCATCTTAGGTTTATCACTGAAAATGATTCCTGAACATCACCACCAGTACTAGATACTGTTTAAGATAGCAGGGGCACTTTCAGAGACCATTCCAAATTGAACAAGTTTCTTTCCCAAACCTACCTAAAATCCATTTTGGTTTTGCATGAAATACGAGATTTTCTCTACTACGCTCTCCTGCTGTTGCTGCTGCCCACAGTCTCAGTATAATAGCAACGTCAAGAAGTTACTAACAGTTTCTTTGAAGGTAGATGACTTGACTTCAGCATTGTACACTTTGTGCACAAGTAGTCATCTATTTTTCCTCACAGTGGAGGCTAAACAAAAAAACGCCTTGGTCCAGCTTATCATCTTCCAGTAGATGAATCAAAATTGTAATTAGTCTAAAAAGACTAGTCCATAACATTTTCTTGCATCTGTTTGTGCTGGTTAGAACAAGGAAACATAGGGGTGGTGATGTACATATGCAAGGTTTTTGTTAGGCATATCATTACTTGAAGCAGGTCTCGTGTCATTAACATCTGGCTGGAATTTGCTTGGGAAACGTTTGAGAGAAGGACTTAAACTGTTGATATATATAAATATATATATATATATTATTTTTTAATTACTGTTGGATACTACAGAAGAAGCAGAAGGGCTGGGCTCACCCAGCCTGCCACTTAGAACTTCCAGGTTCATGTGCAATCATGGAGAATTGAACATTATACATGCAAGAAATGAAGGCATAAAAGCAGCAGTTGAAGTTGTTTAAGGGGTCTTATAATTTGCACCAGATAACATCTTTCTCATGCTTTTCTTTTTCTTTCATGATACACATCACCTCTGATGGCTGAAGAATGTAGACAGGCATAATGGTTTTGCTTTTCACCAAAATGTGTGCACCAAGGTAAACAGGTGTTTGCCTTACTCCTTTTTATTTTGAGTTTGTGAATTAGCTTTTTCTCCAGGTGTTTAACTCTGAATATTCTTTTTTTTTTTGTTATACTGCAGTAGTATTTATTTTTAGAGATAAGGATTGTATGTGTTATGTTTGCAAATGCTGCTACATCTTAGATAGAACAGGCTTATAGCAGTTAATTTTGTAATATATGGAAGGACTGTACAAGCTGAAGGGAATAATGCACTTTTCTCCCATGCGGAAATTTTAACAAGGCTCTGAAATTGTACATACTGCTTAGAATCAGATTTTTGTGAATGAAATACTGTCTTTTAATTGTTTGGCAATGGAGGTGAGAAATTCCAGCTTCATGTGCCAAAGGGTTAAAAACAAACAGACAAAAAAGGCTACATCTTGTGCTCCATTGAGGATAAATGTAATGTAAGAGCCTGACAGCACAACAGAAAATTTCTGTTCTATATGAAGGAATTGCATTTGAACAACGAGACCACAGTGATTACAAGAAAAGCACTTTATTTTAATAATTAAAAGAGTAGATTTCGGGGATCAGCCGTTCTCCAGGAAGGTTTGCCCTCAACCAAAAGTCCTAAAACCCAGCATGTTACGTGTAACCGTGGTACCTGATTGACTGAATTCAAAACGTCATGAGAAACGCTCCACTGATAGGAAAACGTCTTTCCATTTCCCAAGATTTGTATCTAACAGAATGCGTGCATAAACTTTAGCTTTGATCTTCAGCAATGATAATCTTAATAATAAACCCCTTGGTGCTAGGAGTCGGGACGTTACGCAGTGCAGCGATAGCGTGCACGTGCCCTTGCTAACGACACCCGAAAACCCTGACTCCGTGGGATTATCATTCGAAGTATCTCTGCGTTCGGATCTCGTTAGCTCCCACGAAGACTGTGATGTCGCAGAGTATTATTATTATTATTGCGTCGTGTGAATGAGTAGATGAGTCTGAAAGGGGAGATGTTCCTATGCAGATGCCTTTGCCTCTTGATGTGGAAAGTTGCGTGCCCTAGCACGGAGCCCACTGCTGGCAGTGCATGTGCTGGGACGGTCAAGGGGTAGGTGGGCATTTTAGCAAGGCAGCTAAAGACGCAGACTAATTTAGACAATTTTTCATGTTTCGTGTTTTATCTTTAGTAATGGATGGATAATCAGTCAGAAATATATCATGGTGTATATTCTAACTACGTAGGATCTCATTCTGTCACCTTGTAACACTAAGCACGTGTAGAGACTATCCCTCCACGGAGAGAGAGGAGCGCAGCAGGTGCGTTGCAGGTCTGTTCTGCACCGGTAGCGTAGAGGTGTCTACACTGGCACAGTGAGCGAGTGAGTGAAATAACCGAGTACTTAATAGACGGGCATTAATTAGTTGTCTGCAAAGGCCTCGTACTTACAGACTAAAACTATGGCGATTCAAAATCCGTGCTACATGCCTGTGCTTTTTCCCCTATGTTTTCAGCTTGTAATAGCAATAAGTTTCTTGACACAGGGCACCTCTAGCTAATGACCAACTGGCGCAGTGCCCCTGGCCAGCCGTTCCTCGCGTGCGGAAGAAACCCTGTGGTTAGCTCGCCGTCGCGTAGCTAGTTAGAATGCGGTTTGCAGTAAATACCTGTCTGAAGTATTTGAAAACCTCTTAAGACTTCACTTTGCATTGTATCATCTGCCTTCCAAAACGTCATTGATCAAGTTGATGCTAGAGAGAGAGTCGGTGGCCACTTCGTGCTGCCCCGGGGCGGGGGATTCTCTCTCTTACCAGTGTTAGACGCAGATGGAAGACAAACGGGCGAGCGGTGCCGAGAGAAACTTGTGAAGCTCTTCTTTTGCTGTTCGCAGCTGTGGTTGGATTTGGAGAGGAGGTGGTGGCTGGTTGCCTGGGCGAGCCCTTGGAGAACAGTACGTTTCAGACTTTGACTCCAGCTTGTACTGACTTCCGTGACATACAGTATGCCCTCTTGTACTGCAGCCATCTTGGAGGAGATAGGTCATTTCTGTTTGGATTTTGGCAGTTTTGCACACAGCTTCGCTTTCCACACTAATCCATCTTCCAGTACATTCCTGTTGCTTACGGAATGTTTATTCCAGTATTGTTTTACCTTTTTTCCATCTTTACTTGCGGCTTCTTAAAGCTGACTGTTCTTGCAGGGGCCATGTGCTTCTCCTAGAGTACAAAAGTAAGGTCTTTCCTTACTAACTGCAGGGTCTATATATTACACCTCAATGTACACACTTTGCTGCTACTGTTTGTACTGTCTACAGTAGAAATTCCTTATCTTGCTCCTGGTAGTGCATTACAGGCAAGCATGAAATGTAAAGTATTTATTTAAATAAAAACCTCTAAATTGGTAATTGAATTACCTCCCTGTAGCTTTAGAGTTTGTGACATTTCTTGACCTTGCTAGTTCTTTCATTAGATCCATGCAAGATCTAGTCATATGGTTAAGGATATTACGCAGACACGACTATGAACCCAAGAAACCGTATTACTGTTGGTCATACTTAAACTGTTTATTTCCTTAAGTATATGACCCACAAGGATGTGAAATAACTACAAGAAACTGTTTTTGTACACTGTACATCCTTAGTATTTTTACACGTATATGATAGGGATGCACATTATTTTCCTTCGTACAGACAGCTTAAATAAAGCACTATGTCAATCTGCTACTTCTGTGTTTTTTAATGCTAATTTGTTCTGGAGGTTTGTAAATATCTATATATATATGTTCAAGCTTGCCACAAAGGACGTATTTTTTTATATCTGCACATTACTATTAAATATCTTAGAGGATAAAATTCCTAAGTTGTTCTGTCTCAGAGAAGGAAAAACTGAAATGAGAAGGCTATATTGCAGATTACAAAAGATTTCTCAAATTTTGGGTTAAATCTTTGCTTCATATTTTAAAGTAATTTTATATAGGTTAGATGTTTCAATCCTGAAATGCACAAAGAATTTACTTAATTTCTTCTTACAAGAAAATGTACATCGTTATTTTTTTATCACTGTATATATAATGATCTGTGCATGTTTAGTTACAAGTTTTATTTGCTGTGAAGTCCTAGTGATAACTGTAACTCGCTGTGACGTATTTCCAATACCGGGTGATCAGTTTCAGCTTGTAAATGATTAAGTTACAGTATTGTCAAAAAAAAAAAAAAGTTTTTATGACTAAGCAAGATGTATCTGTGCTTTGGACCAAGGCGATTTCCAACAGTTCATGTTAACTCTGCGAGGTGCATGCCACTTGTAAAAGTAAATTTGCGTTACGCTTTTCAAGTAATGATGACGCAGGGCTACGTTCCTGTCAGAACCCCCGCCTTGTAAGTGATTTGTCATCTGATGAAACGCATAGCCTCACACCCCAGAGCTAGGTAACGTCTTAGGGTGAGGAGGGGAAAAACGGGAAGGTGGGATTCGCAGGGCATCTCGGAGTGGGACTCTGTGAAGCCCGCAAGCTGGCCCAGGGCCGTTTGAAGCAGCCGGTCAGCAGGGCTGAGTGTCCCTGAAGCGGGCCGTCCTCTGGGTTTTAGCTCAGGTCTCGGACATGAACGCTTCCCCAGAATAGAGGTGCCGCATCCAGGTCTCACGGTTTTTCCCTTTTTTTTCCTTCCTTCCCCCTCCCTTGTAATAGGGCCGAGCGCCAGCCAGCCAGCCAGCCGTTAGTTCAGCGACGTTAGGAGATCAGTGGCCGGGGCTCGGCTGGGGCAGCGGCCGCGCAGGACCGCCTGGGCGGGCTGCACCCGCGTCGCGGGGTCGCGCTCCGTGGGATCGCTTGGATTCCAGCGCCTGGTCCGACGCTTGTGAACTTTGTGAAACGAAGCATTTTGTGCCTGAGTAAAAGTGGGGGCGGGAGGAGGGGGGAAACGTGAGACAGGTAGACCCGGTGCTGTCTGTGCTTAATGACTAATGAATTGCTACAGAGCAGAGTCGCTGCTGCAGGGAAATGGATTCCTTCTAGACTCCCAGCAACACCATGAATTGAGCCTACACCGGGGACGAGTATGAAAACCTCCTTCCAGCCGCATACACTCGCAGCCCAGGATGCTTCGTTGAGCTCGGACAGGCAGGGGCCCGCGGGGCTGGTGGCCGTGCTCTGCGCGCCGCCACCAGAAGCACCCGGTAGGTGAGGCAGGTCCAGAAGGGTTGAGGGTCCAGCTGCGCCTCGGGCCGGGGCACGGCAGCTCCGGGATCTCAGTGAAGCCAAAGCGTTGG